TGTTTCGGTGGCCCAGGGTTTCACTGGTTCAGATCCTGGGCACAGACCCAGCACCGCTCATCAGGCCATGCTGAGGCAGCATCCCACATAGCACAGCCAGAAGGACCTACAACTAGAATATACAACTATGTACTGGGGGAATTTGGGGAGGAGAAGAAGACGAGAAAAAAAAGAAGATAGGCAATAGATGTTAGCTCAGGTGCCAAAAAACCCCAACTTCTTGAAATTTACACCTAGGTCTCCTTGAGTCTTCATCTAAATACCTAGATGAACATGCAGAGCGAAAACTCCACAGGGCTAAAGAAAATGCGAAAGAACAACTACTAGGGATGACAGAATAGAAGAGAAAAATGAAAAAAGAGTGACAATGACTCTAAAACTAGTTCTTTTAAAAGTTTAATAAAATTTATAACACACTAGATAGACAGATTAGGAAAAAAGATGTCAGAAATTGCTAATATCAGAAGTAAAAGAGTAAAACAGGGGAAATCACTAAAGGTCCACAGACGTCTCAAACAAAAAAAAGAAAAAAGGGATATTATAAACCACTTCATGAAAATGAATTTGAAAAGGTATAAGGAAAGGACAAATTTCATGAAAGATAGAAATTACCAAACTAGGAAAAGAAGAATTAGAAAAGCCTTATCTAAAACGTTTCCCACAAAGATAACTTCAAGATTCCATGATGTCACTGGTAAATTTTGCCAAAGGTTTGTGGAGGAAATAATACAAACTACACAAACTCTTTCACAAGACAGAGGTAAAGGGGACACTTTCCAACTAATTTTGAGGCCAGAATTTCTCTAATAACAAAATTTGTCAAAGACATTACAAAAAAAAGAAATTGATAGGTCAATAGCCCTGATAAAAATAGGTCCAAAAATCCTCAACCAATTATTTCCAAGGCAGATAAGCAATATTAATATTATTTAACATATTATTTTATTATTATATATTATTAATATATTACTTAATATATTAAATGCTAATACACCACAACCAAATGTGGTTTATCCTAGGAATGCAAAGTTGGTTTAACTTTTGAAAATCAGTCAACGCAATTCACCACATTAACATAATAAAAGGGAAGAATCAGATAATTTCTGCAATAAATGCAGAAAAAAATGGATTTAATAAAACTCAATTCTCATTCACTATTAAAATTGTTATCAAACTAAATATAAGGACATTTTCAAATGTCCTGATAAAGGGCATCTACAAAAACCTATAGCTACCATCATACCTAACAACGAACGACTGAAAACTTCCCTCTACATATGGCGAGTGTTGTCACTCCTATTGCAGAAGAGTTCTTAATGAGTGCGAATAGGTAAGAAGAAGAAACATGAGGAAGAAATAAACTCTCAGTACGTACAGTCAACAAGATCATATGTGTAAAAAATCCTAGAGGATCTACAAAACAAAACCAGTAGCACTAATAAATAAATTCACTAAGTTTGCAGGACAAAAGATCTATCCATAAAAAATCAACTGTATTTATATAATCTAGCAGTGAGCAATTCAAAAATTAAATATAAAGAACAATACTATTTATAGGACTATCTACAAACATTAAATAGTTAAGGACAAATTTAACAAACTGGAGCGAAAGCTTACATTGAAAATGACAAAACACTGCTGAAATACAAAAGGGCCTAATGAAATGAAGAGATGGGCCATGCTCATGGATTAGAAGATTTCATATTTTTAAGATGTCAATTTTCTCCCAAGTGATTTCTAGATTCAGTGAAATTTCTGTCAAAATCCCAACAAGATTTTTGTAGAAACTGACAAGCTCATACTAATTTTTTTTTTAAGGGGAATGCAAATGACCTAGAATAGCCAAAACAATCTTGAAAAACAAGAACAAAGTTAGGGGATTAACTCCACTTGATTTCTGGACTGTAAAGCTATAGCGGTTTTCTCCAAAAATAGTCTCCCACAAATCCTTCCTTCTCTGTATATGCTTGCTGCTCTCTCCATCAAGTGGAGTTTATTTCCCTTCCCCTCAAATCTAGGTTGACCCTCTCTTGTGACTTGCTTTGACCAACAGAATGCACCAGAAGTGACACTGTGTCATCTGGACCTAGACTTTGTGAGGCTTACTAGCTTCCATTTTCACTCTTAGCCCACAGCGGTCTGACTCCTCTGCTAGAGAGAAAGGCTGCATGAAGAGAAGTTCTACTGGATGTGAGACTATGAAGAGAGAGAAGCCGCAGCAGCCTCCAGCCATTTTAGCCATCTCAGACAAGGCTCCAGACATGAGTGGAACCATCTTGGATTCTTCAGATCTAACTGATCTGCATCAATTAACACCATGTGGCGGTGAAATGAGCATGTCCTGGCCAAATCCTGCCCAAACTGCAGAATAATAAACAAATAATTGATCGTTTACAGTAAAGTGTTGAGGTAGTTTGTTATGCAAGCATAGAAACCTGAAACAATGAATGATGGAGTAAACAAATGGCACTTCATTTTTCTCAAAGTCTGCCAGCCACGTTAGCACACTGTGTCTGACACTGAGATACTCTCCACAGCTCTCTTCTGTGGTTTTCTAGTCACAGGCAGCTTCTGTAATTACACTTCAGAAATTAAAAGACAAGGAAATCTTTATGCAGCATATCACCAAGTAATTAAAAAGATCTTTCTGATTAAACTTCCGAGTATAAAAGTAATAGATGCTCATTGAAATTACAGTAGAAAAAAAGGGGAAAAAATCACCCATTAGTCCACAAAATCGATGTTTATCTTTTGATGCACTTCATAGAAAAAAATAAATACATTTTTCATAATTGAGATCACATTTTACATAAAGATTGCACCATATTTCACTGCCAGCTGATAGTCATCAAGAATTTGATTTGGAGATAATTGTTTTCAAGGCATATCTCTTCTTACAAGTATCCTAAAATATACAAAATATCCCTCCATTCTCCCAGATTAGCGGAGATTTGCTATAAGAACCAAATCATAAATGCCTGTAGTAAAATAATTTTTAACAAATATGCTTTTGCCATGATATCATCTGCATATATTTAGGCCATATACAAATATATATGAAAAAGTTCCCTGAAATTTATCAGTGTCACATGAAATTCATTGTAGAGGATGTTAATCCCATTAAATAATATTTTATTATGAGGATTCCATTAAATTTCTTTCTAATTTTGGAACCAGAAAGATTGCATTTTTCCTAGATAAATCATTGTCTGTATCTTTGGATAGGCCTGAACCATGTAGCTAATGATCTGGTTTTCTTTTTCGAAGTATAGGACACGACATGGGGCTCCCCCGCAAAAAGTATATCTACAGTCTTGAAATGGGTTCTCTGACCCCAGTTTTAGATTTACCTATTTGCCTTCACCTTTAATCTTTTTCTCTTGGAGAGAATTTATAAATCTTTATAAACTCCTTGTAACACTTTTTGTAAACAGGTAGGATTTTAATCAAGTAATTGATTCTGCCTTATGTCTCATTTATTGTTTACTTATAAATGTTGTTTATCATTACATAATTAGCGGTTTTCCAAAATTTTAATAACTGTATATTATTTTGTTATATGTGTGCACTACCATAATCTACTGTTGGAGATAAGAGATTGGCATTCATTTTTTACTATTATAAAAATTATAAAAAACTACTTTGCACTGAAGTTTTTTTCCATGTATCTGATTTTTTTCTAGGACTGGAATTTCCTGCTTAGAAGATCTTGAAATAGATTACCAAATTTCTTTAGAAAGACAATAATAATTTGCATTCTTGCCATCACGGTCAAGCACTCAGCACATCTTACCAGCACTGAGTACTATCATTGCTCAGACTTTGCTAATATGACCAATAAAGGGGCATTAAGTGATTTAATGTGCATTTCTTAGATTATCAGTGAGAACCCAGACTCTCAATGATGCTTCCTTGATCCCATATCATGTATTCAAGTGTCTTCTCGCCTATCTGTTCTGTAGATCTGTGTCTATCCTTGTGCTAATTCTATACTTTCAAAGAGAAATAATACGTAGTAGGCAATTTTCAATGTTCAAGTACCAAGACTATTCTTGTCCACAAAGTTCAACACTGAGAAACTCTCCTAAGAAATAATCCAAAAATAGAAAATATTTGTGTGAATGCGTACTCACTACATTATTTATAAAAGTGAAAAAAGTCATAACATAAATTTCCAACATTATTGAAATGGTTATCAACAGCATACCATAGAATGAAATATTAGATATTAAATTATGCTCACAGAGTTTGTCAATGATAAAAGGTAAAGTTAAAAGACATTGGAATAAAAGGGAATTTTTCAACTATTAATATGGAAAAATCTCTGCTATACAATATTAAATTAATAATACTAAGATAGATTATTTTTTTCTACTCAATTAAAAAATATGAAGAGAATGAGGTAATTCACAAAATATTAATAGTGTTTAACTCTTAACTAGTAGCATTAAGGATGCTTTATACTCTCTTCTCTGCAACTTCCATTATTTCCTGAATTTCAGCATGCTATACTTCTCCTTGTTTCTTTGTAAATCTGTTCTAGATTAAGGTGGAGCTACATATTTAAAAATATAATGCTTTTATTATTATTATAAAAAATAGTTATTTTTAACTATGCTGTCAACATCCCAATCTCTATTTTGCAATATTTTTACTATCCCTTAATTGAAAGAATTCACAAAACATCAAACAAGAGAAGACTGCTATTCTAAAAGTTCACTTTACCAATGCAAAATTGAAAACAGTTTTAATTTAGGACCAAAGGAAAAGAATAAGTAATAATGTTTTAAGGGGATAAAAGTATGGAAGGAAAAGACATTGAAAAGCATCAAATTTTTGACTCTGTAACTTAATGAAAACAATCCATCTTTGTGTGGTCATATAATCCATCTTCTAAACTGTTACATCAATTAAAATCATGCCATGTCAGCTCACGGCATCATTTCAGTTCAGTTTGAATTTCTCAGCGAAGGATATGTAGTAAAAATCTTGAAATCTACCTGTCAAATGATGGCTTCTCTCCACAGTCAAAGGCATCCTGGAGCTCTTTAACAAGATTAGCCTGGCCTGGCAGTCGAAAGAGACCCTCTTCTTTCAGCCCCCTTTGTCGGATAAAGTCTACACACTGCTCCACCAGCATTGGAGCCAGACGGTTCCCATATCTCTTCTCATAACGGACAGTATCTTCCAGTTTCTGTCCAAAGATGCCTAAAGAAAGAAAGGATCACAACGAATTTGAGAAATTTCTCTCTTCTCACATTGCTGCTTTAAAACTCAACGTAAAGGAAAAAGAGAAGATTGCAATGCTGAAAAGCATTTAATATTTGGTACTTTACATCACAGAATCAAATTCATTATATATAATTCTTAAAATGAAAATGGTTTACCTTATGCTGCCCTTTCCCCCTGTATTCTGCATTTAGCCCAAAAGCAAAACAAAAATACGGAGTTTGAATTATCCACTTTGAAATAAGAAACACTGCAATAAATATAATTTTAGCTTTGGGTTTTCTTTTTTTTTCCTTCTGGGAAAGGAATTGTATTCAAAAGCTTAAAAGCAGAAATATTCTGCAGACAAAAGTCAAATCCTACTTTTGTTACAGTTTTAACTTTACGTCCAATTTTCATTTACTCTAAATACTGTTCATTTCTCTGTTCACCTTTTGTTTTCAATCAAGTTATGATGCCAGGATTATAATCAAGGTGGTAAAGCCAGGAAAAGAAACCCAGAAGTTTTATCCATATAAAATATTTCAGACAGTGTTTGCTTTTTAAAACCTTAAACTATTAATTTATTGGAAAAGGAAAAATGTGAATTACGAAACTGTGCATACCACAAGAGAGGAGGCGGGATCCTGGTGGTTTGCCCTGACAGCGAGGCATATTTGTCTAGAATTGTCAGTACATGGCAGTAATAAAAAGCAGGCCAATTTTGATCAATTTTATTAAAATACCTACAAATGATGCATTCCTCGGTGCATACATTTGGGGCTGAACAGCCCCACTATTCACCCTTGGTACCCCATTGATTAACAGACAGTGCCTCTAAAATATATTTATATGCGGGGGTAGCTTCGTAAGAATGATCAACCTATGAGAAAAGAGGGAGGGGGAAAAGCTGGAGGAAATGTGACTCCGTTGTCCCCAGAGGGGATGAATATGATGAAATCTTTTTGATGGTCTAATGAGGTTCATGAAAGGGATATAAAAATAAGTGTTGCATGTTCAAATTATGCAAGACTCTAGAATGTTTGGGGAATTATTTCAAACCATTAGGTTAAGGATTTGACAATAAGAACATACGCTTTACTTGCCTATCTGTAAAATAACTTATAGATGGATACAGTAATGCAAAATCATCATATTCCAAGCAACAAACACTTGCTACCAAAGAGAATATTCTTAGCCTAGGTAGAAACAATAACGCAACAACAAACCAAACTATTCTACACCTGCTATCAAATCTAGCACTCATGGAATTCATATATATTCCTTTTAGGAAAAAAGGTTGAGTGACCTAATATTAACGTTCAAGTACAAATAAAGCAGAATTAGAAAATGGCTTTCTCTAAGGGCAGTGAAGATTAAAGCAGGTAACAGCGCTGTTTAGCTTACTCTGTATACTTTGGAACAAGCAGTTTCTTGATAATAGTGAATAGAATATTGTTTGCTAACTCAACAGACCTTCACACCCCTATTTTCTCTTGCTATCTCCACTTCAGAGGCTGGAAAATGAAATACTTCTGCCACTTCCCAATAAGTCTTCTGCAGCCTCTAAGAAAATTTGTTTTCTTGATGAAAGAGAAGGACCCAGCTGGAATTGCCAATCACTCCTTTTTTCTATCATGAACTTGGACATGGTATCTATCAATCGAAGAGTCATCTTTCGACCATTAGGTAATAACTGCAAGGCGAAGGCTGAAAGATTCAGACGACAGGGCTGAAACCACTGAACCACTGACCTGATAGCAGCAGCACCTTCCTGCAGAATTTCTTTTTTTTTTTTCTTTTAAGATTGGCACCTGAACTAACATTTGTTTCCAATCTTATTTTTTTTTTTTTCTTCTTCTCCCCAAAGCCCCCTAGTACATAGTTGTATATTGTAGTTGTGGTCCTTCTGGTTGTGCTGTGTGGGATGCTGCCTCGGCATAGCTTGACGAACGGTCCGCGCCCAGGATCCGAACCAGTGAAACCCTGGGCCGCCGAAGCGGAGCGTATGAACTTAACTACCCGGCCACGGGACCGGCCAGCTCTAGAATTTCTTTTAATGTGAGAACAACAAGCCCCTGTGTGTTTAAGCCACTGTTAGCTGGGTTTTCTTTTACTGGCAGCAATGCAGAATTCTAACCCATAGCGTGGTGATAATGATTTTGAAGATATCCTGGTATTTTCATAAAAGCTTGCAAATTGATTATGAATGAAGAATATTGACTCTTTTTCTGGGGGTTCTTTGACAACAAGTGTGATGCTTATTCCCTGGGGATGTTTGGATTCTACGCTGCCAAATGTAAAGAAACAGCCTTTCACAGGCCCTTATAGATTATTTAAAAAAATAATGTTGACATTTGGGAATAAATCTCATGTATGTGTGATTTTCCACTTATTGCTTTGGATGGATAAATATATTACGTAAGGTTTCTCTCTAAATCCAGCAGAATTCTACTAAAGATGTTCCAAGTCAATGTCTATGTGCGCTACAAATGAGACCCCAACTTCCAAGATTTGGTTTTATGCAGTAATGAAAAACAGTCAAACCTTCTTTTCTTAAAACTCTCAGGATTTCTTCTTTCCTGACAATTTAGAGAAGTGATAAAGGAAGGGGTAAGTTTGCTTTAGATGAATACTCTGGTTTCCTTTTTTTGTTTTTTCTTGTACATATAGGCTTGCCTTTACGACAAGAATTTACTTAAGAGTTACAGCAAGAAATTAAAAGCTAAGAGCCTGAACATCCTCCAATTTATTAAGAACACATTACATACTAAGTTCATACTAAGTTCTTGCCATATGTTCTCTCGTTTTCGTAATAAATATATAATGTAGCTATCCTATACAAGAAGAAAGTGGTGCTCAGAGAGATTAAATAAATCACCCAAGGTTAGTTACAGAGCATCAAGTGGCATAATGGAAGTCCACATCCAGATTTCTTCAGCCTTAAACCCTTTGCTCATTCCTGAAAACCAGCCCTCTTCCTTTTTATTTAATCACAATTATCATGCATCCTAATTTTCTAGTAATTTAAAATATTAGTAAATTCTAAAAAGGAGTAAAGTGGCTTATCTTCTCTGTGCTCTAGAAAGTGACTGTGGCTAAGCTGTACTTATGTATGCCAGGCATAGTGACAAGTAGTTTATCTGCATTTCTCTCACTTGAAACTCACAGCACTCAATGAGGTATTACTCTCATTTTACTGAGGAAGAGACTGAAGCACAGGAGGGTTAAGTAAGTTGCTGAATGTCACACAGCTAGTACATAGTGGAGCCAGGATTCGTTCAAGACTTTTGGATTCAGAGCCATTCTATATCTAGTACACAATACTGCGAAGTGTGCTCAATGGCTGAAAACTGAGCTATGGGGGAAGAAAACTGTGTATACTAGCTTTCCTACCTCACTTCCTGTCATCACACTAGGAGGGGTAATTTCTGTTGAGAAAATGTAAATATGGGGGGAGGTCAGAAAAAAAAAAGAATGAAAAAAACCCTGAACATTTAGTGAGCATTGTGACCAAGGAAAGGATTTCCCCTACATACAGAGGGGAACATAAACAGCTATGTCTACTTAGCTACCTAATATGTATGAGAGTTAAAGCATGCAGACAATATGTACATATGCTTAGAAATTCCCGTGGAAAAATAATAGTTTTCTGCTCTTGATCTGGTCTTGGAAAGAATTACAGTGGATATATACTTCCCATTCTGTAGCACTGGAAATAAAACGTTCCACACATTTCTGGCTTGCAACAGGTGGTGTGAGTTAATCTTCTGTATGAGGATGGTTTTTATGATGAAAGCTAGGGGGAAAATTTTATTTATTTTATTTTTTGGTGAGGAAGATTAGCCCTGAGCTAACATCTGTTGCCAATATTCCTCTTTCTGCTTGAGGAAGATTGTCACTGAGCTACCCTTCATGCCAGTCTTCCTCTATTTTATGTTGGATGCCACCACAGTGAGGCTTGACGAGCTGTGTGGAGGTCCAGGCCTGGGATCCAGGCCTGTGAACCCTGGGTGGCTGAAGCAGAGCACATGAACTTAACCACCTCGCCACTGGGCTGGCCCCCGGGAAAATTATTTTTAAAAAGCTGTTTTATTTAGATTTTTTTTTGAAGGTGCAGTGAAATTTCAAATTTTAAAATTAACAGAAAAGCACAAAGGTCATGAGCTATGCCCAACTAGTAGAATGAGGAAAAGAACACAAGATTAGTAGATAATTAACAAGAATATTCCCTGTGGTGTGAGACATGCAACCAGTCCCAGCTACGTCCATTTACGTTCCCAGGAAAGTTTCACACTCCCTGATAAAACCTTTTTGGGAATCTCTGGGTGACGATGGTGTGTCCTGCATACTTTTCCTGGAAGTACATTGATGGCATCATGAAGCATCCTCCACGATGTGACTTTTCACTAGACTGAGAAAGTAAATCACACAGGTGAATTTATTGCACTTGTGGGAGGCTGTCTCAACTGGAGAGAGGAAAAGAGAGAGAGAAATCTAACCATCCTTCAGGATTTGTGAAATTCCACTGTCACATGTGATTTATATACCCAATACCTAGAGGCAGCCTGTGAAGTTAGTGAGTGTGATCAGAGAAATATATTTGCGTTCCATCCTTCTTAAAAATGAATAAACAAATAAATACAAAGCCAAACCTTCTGGGACTCTCCATGCCCTGTAATTATTTATTCCCTTTGCCTCTCGATTCCCAGTCAAGTGCGACTCAGGCTCTATTGCATCACTCTCTATCCTCTTGCCAACATATGCATTTTGGCCTCTGAGACCGTCACTCCACTAAAAGATCTTTTTCTATAGTCACCAACAACTTCCTGGTTGTCAAACCACTGACAGTCATATTTTTTTGTATTACTTTATGCCTCACTCGTTTTAAAACTATCAATCTCCTTCTTCTTCCTGACACTTCTCACATGTTACATAATCCATGCCTTCCAGAATGTTCTTCTCAGTCTCCTTCTTGAGTATGCTACTTACTACACCCT